GTTATTGTTTTAAGTTTTCAAGATAATCGAGATATCCTCTAATTTTATTGTTCTTAGACAACGGTGAGGTACCTATTGTTTTTATATTTCAAACTGGACTATTATTGCGTGGAAATATTTTTATAACCGTTTGTGACGTTAATAAAATTAAATAAATATTACTACCATGCCGTCTGTTCTCCAGATTTGTTCGTTGTTGGGCAGTGGTGTTCATTTAAAACATCCCCTTTTTGTTCCATTTATTGAATGATTGATTGATAGAAACATAGGTACTCATTATCATCAATAGTCATCAATCACAATTCAAGGTACCGCGCTAGGAACAGAGCACATCGAGAAACACAGAACAACAAAAATAACCATTTATTTACCTCGGAAATCAAACCCGAGACGACTGGCAATCGCATTTAAACGAGCACTTACCAATGCTCGTTTAAATTGCGATGCAAGAAGTCAGTTTATTCCTAAGAGTCCCAGTTTATCATTCCTAAGAATATTTGCATTGTCTGTCGATATGTGTGTCACCCCAGAGAACAGATAATCGGGAAGATAGAAGCTTTTGTGTGTTATCAATAAACCATTCTTATCATTTGTGAGAAATGTGTCGTGAATCAACAAAACTTTATGATAAATAGTTATGTTAAGAATTTATATTTCGGGATTAAATATTTTTTAAACTATCGCTATCCTTGTCAAACGACATTCCCGTTTAGTTACGATCCATGTCACAAAAATTTGAGACTGGACACTTTTCTAAGGAAATGCGTCATTGTGCCAACCCTAAGATTTTATGGCATTTATCTCTACCAAAATTCTGAACTCCTGGTACCACTACTACCTAATAAAATGATCTCTTCATAATCATTGTGCACTTCACATAAACACTGTAATATTGTATGACGACTGTAACCAGTTAATACACGGTACATCACAGTGATGTAGCAATTTATTGACTGGACAATGACATCTTGTTAGCTTGTCATTTCGCTTTGCTACTTACAAACAAGGTGTCTTTATTTATAAAGTTTGTATGAACTTCGTATTAAATTAACTGCACTATTACGAATAGTCTAGTTTAAAATACACAGATTCCTCTAATCATCTATGACGATGATTAACGATTAACTCGTTTTCGTCCCCTACTAGTCATGGGTAGACCTCTCCAGTAATTAATAAGACACTATAAGGTCTACCCCAGTTATTCGCATCCAATCACATTGACGTTCCATTTTGGTCATAGGTTGACCTCTCCAGCTTCCAGTAGGACCCCAATAAGTGTGATCTGCAGTTCTAATCATTTGTAATTTTTCTAGAATCATTAACACAATACCTAATCATTAACTAAAAATCGCGAGTTACGCACGTGAATATACTGAGAAAAACTCTACTAGTTTCGAGCCACAGAGGGGCTCTTCCCCATGAGCAGCGTGCGCGGCGATGTCGCGCAGCCTATTGATTAATTTAGTAACCCACGATTTTTTGTTAATTCAGTTGACTCACGATAGGTATTATAAAAATATACCTAATCATTTCTCCTTTCGAACTAAATAACTGTTGCAAAAACGATTGAGAACAGCAATCGTTATTAAACAATCCCAATGAAATACAGCATGATCACTGAACGTGATCATTAACATTCTTTTCACAGTTTTCAGCGAATAACTGAATTCGAATACCAATAACTTTCTTTAAAATTAATTATCGACGACTATTTAACACTTGTGTTGGTAAAGTGGGGCGGAGTCGCTATAATAGTCAGTCTTTCACGGATACTCCAGTAATGTGCTCAACTCAGGCGCAAGTAAAATGTATCACAGATCGTGATGCGCGGTGTATGGCATCCGATACGTGTTCTGCTCGCTGCACACTGTTCCGGACTTCGATTCCGTTATGTCCAATTAAATGCACGCGTCCATCAACCATCTTATTTTATTCTCTCTTTGATTTATTTTGTTGCATTTTGTGTTTTTGTAAACATGCTCTGCAATCAATTTTGATCTGATTATGAAAGTTCTGACAAAACCCTGGTTAGATGTACTTACGGCGGCAATAAGTTTGGCTGAATGTGTGTACCTATGAGCATGAAATAAAAAAAAAAAAATATAAATGTGATAAGCGTGGAAGATAGCACTCTCACTGTCTGTAATTTCTAAATAACCCTTTGCGTTAAAATAAAATTGTTATTAGGTACGTTCCTATATTTTATATCTTGTTTTACTATGAAAAGTAAGTACTAAATTCTCTTCTCAGTGGGTGTTTTCGATTTCCCTCGTCACATTTAATTGTTTTGATTGAACGCAATTAGGCACCTTGTAACAACGGAGTAGAATTGATAATTGAGTACAATTAGTGTGTCCGTTCTAAGAAATGCTTGATCAATTTATTATGTTCTAGTTAACATAACAAAATACCAAATGTCTTTGACATGAGTACCTAGTACATTGTAAATTGGCAGAAATGGGGCATTGGTCCTAGTTAGAGTTTAATGACAGCCGAATACGTAGTAGGTAACCATTTAGCTAATTATGGAGAAGTACCTAGATGGTCCCATTCTCACAAGCGGTCCCCAACAAGATTTATCGGGTTGGTTCCCTGGGTCGTCTAAAATATTGTTTTTTGATAGTAGGTAGCATTAAATTTAAAGACATGGAACGAAAGTACTTTACCTATTTACTTAGGTGTACTTTTGTGTAGGAACACCGAACAACTAGACTAAGCCTAAATGAGGTAAATTGGGACACAAATGAGGACATAAATTAGGATACTTAGGTAGAGAAGTACCCATAAATACTAGTCTGTTGGTCGATTCAAACGTTACTTACGTACATATAGGAGACGCAGCTTTAAAATATTCAAAAAAACCTCGAAGAGAACCGTCTCTTCAGCATCGCCATATCCAAAAATTACAAAACACAATTAAAATATCCACAAAATCAGTTTTTCTAATTACTAATTATTATTTCGAATGTGGTCGGACAATCAAACAAAAGGATTTGATAATTGCGCACAATTATCGTGTTCTATAATGCACTGTGCAGCATAAAACCTATCGCCCACGTGAATCTGCATAACTAGTTCTAAACAATTTATTCCATCTGTTCACCTAGTTTAATAACCATGTTGGTTCTCACGGAACATAATAAGTACCTATGTATTAGGTATTTGTAGGTAAGCCCTAGGTTTTAACGACGATTTCCAATCATTTATTTGTATAGTCTCAAAACTGTTAAAATTAGAGGCAGGCAGTGGCGTAAATATACCGTTTGGAGCTTGTTGCAAATTTTGAATGGAGTTCCTTCTAGCTGGGGGCTCGTAGTATTTTGTATATTTTATTACCACCCTGTAGTCTCATCACTAGACACATGTAACCAACTCCTTGATTGGCCTTTTAGCAGAAGGGATACAATTAAAAATATCATTTACGTTTTTACGTACTTAAGCAGTCTACTACCATCTGCGTAGAGATTCTAGAGCAGAGAAATATTAAAATTATTATTCCTTATTATATCTATGTTCTAGAGAAATAAAATAGGTACCTACTTACATAGTGGGAGAGCCATGCATCGGCATAAATGGGCGGGCTCGACCGGAGCGATACCACAGCCTCACAAAAAAACCGACGTGAAACAACGCTTGCGTTGTTTTTCGTCGTGTGAGTGAGGTTACCGAACCCCCCCCCTGCTTTCCCCAATTCCTGAAACCCCAAATCCTCAAATTCCTAATCCCATTAAACGTATCCCATGTAACGCACTTGTAACGCCTCTGGTGTTCCAGGTGTCCATGGGCGACGCCGGTTGCTTACTATCAGGTGATCCGTCTGCTCGTTTACCGGCTGATCCCATAAAAAAAACAACGTGAATTTATTCAAGTAATTTTTATTTGATATTTCTTTGATGAAAGGAAATGATTATAGGAAGATAAGTCTTATAAACTGAAAATTGAATTTCCTTCAAGAACTTATGCTAAGCAATGCATATTATTTACCTATTGATATTAAGCAGTCTGAAGCGATAACAACAGTTATTCAAAACCTAATACCATAATTATCCTTTTTGACAATAGAGATAACACAGATTTACAGTTTTTTATCTTACTAAGTAGGTCTAAGCAATAATAATGCACTTTACTTATCAATATTAACTATTTTTGTTTTTAATTCT